TCTACTCCCTCCCCCCCCCCTCCCCCCCCCCCCCACCCACCTCTCCCCACACACACACATACCACATACACACCCCTCCTGAATGCAACCCCCAAATCCCTGACTGTCCGTCCATCCGGCGCCTCGGGACGTCCTCCCGGCGTGTGTGCCAGCGTCACGTGTCGTTGTTTTGCAGGGCGAACCTCGTGAAGGAGACGCGTGGGCAAAATACATGGCGGAGGTGAAGAAATACAAAGCGCATCAGTGCAGTGACGACGACAAAACCAGGCCACTCGTTAAATAGCCTCCCGCCCGCGCGCGCACACACGCACTCACTCACCACACATATGCCGCACACACACACACGCGCGCGCACACACACCACTCACACACACACACTCTCCCTCCCAGACACCATACTCAAATGCACACCACTCACACACCACACACACACACACACACAAGAAGAACTGTATGGTTTGACAACTGTGTTAAAGACCCAGCCCCCTTCTCTTCTCTTCCCGCCCCCCCCCCCCCCTCCAAAAGATCCGTTGCCTTCCCCCCCCCCCCCTCACTGTACAGTAACCGGTCACTGATTTTTTTTTCTCTCCCAATAGCTGTTGTTGTTTTATTTGGGGTGCTTTTTCAACCTGAAAAATTGGGGTATTTATTCAAATTGACAATGGCATTTCCCCCCCCCCCCCCCCACCCCCCACCGTTTCCTCCCCGACTTCGAGCAGACCCTTCGACCCCTCCCGATCACTTCCCACTTCCTGTGTGTGGTTGCGTCCCCTGTATAGTCTCGAACCCCTTTCTCCCCCCCCCCCTATAATTAAACCCCCCCCCCCCCCAACCCAATGCGATTTACTGCCTTGTTTCGAACCGCTCAATCCCACCCCCTCCCCTCCAGGATCTCCCCACATATAGAACATATGATATCCAGCTGCTTGATTTTTAATCTTTATTTTTTTAATGTGCACAATATAAAATAAGGACTGTCAGTAAAGAATTCTGTACATAACTGGGGTTTTTTTTTTGGAGTGTGGAGTTGGGGGGAGGAGGGGGGAGGTTGGGGGGGGGGGGGGGAGCGGTCTCCTCATCCCCGGACGCCAGTTATTCTTCCAATAAAAATAATAATCCTCACATTCGACACAGCGCCTTATCGCGTCGTCGAGACGTCTCCAAGCGCTTCGCAGGACACGCTGTAAAGTGCAGTGACTGTGTGTTTTGCGGGCGACGTCCTCACAAACGGCCGTGGATTGAAGTGACCCGCAATTTTTTTTTGAGAGCGACCGTTACCTCGATGGTGTTATTATTACTGTTGCTTCGCTGCCTTGTAGCAAGGGCGAATACCCGTCCTTCCGCAGCACCCTTGACCCAGGATAGAGCCTGGGAGCGCTCAAAGTAAATAATAATAATCCTCGCGTTCGACACAGCGCCTCATCGCGTCTTCGAGACGTCTCAAAGCGCTTCACAGGATGCGGTGACGAGTGTAATTTGTGGGTGAAACACGGCAGACAATTGCGCCCGGCGACGTCCCCACGAACAATCGTGAGAGAGTCCCGTGTCTCCCGACAATGCAACACCTCCCCCCCACCCAGCGCTGCACTGGAGCCTCAGCTTAGATCGGGTGATGCCGGGGGTGGGGTTTAAACCCACAACCTTCTGACTCGGAGGCAAGAGAGAGAGCGAGCGCGACTGAGCCGGGCTGACACACTGTGTGTGACTCGACCTCACGAGCCCTTAAAGCCAGCGCTTACATAATAATAATAATCCTCGTACCTTATCGTGTCTTTGAGACGTCTCAAAGCCTCGCATAAGGCCACCGAAGATTCAGAGGGGGAAGGTCTTCAGCCCCATTCGATCTCAACCTTTCACACTCTCTCCTGATCCTCACTGTTTCGTTCCGAGTTCTTCGATCCAGTCTTCAGTTGGGAGACTCTTCCCCCCAAACCCCCCTCCCCCCCCCCCCCCGACCCCAACCACCTCCACAGAAAAGTACGGTTCCTAAATTAAGACGAGACCCAAGAATTCATCGTAATCGGTGCACGCGATCGCACGGCACCTTGTCGCTTCTCAAAGCGCTTCGCAGAATACACCGCACTGTGCGTTCTGCGGGCGAAACGCGGAGGCCAACGGCGCGCAGCAACTGCGATCGTTTCGAGTCCGTTTGAGCCATCCAAAAACAGCCCGTCGCACCCTCCTTCAAGCGGGGCCAACGAGAGGCGAGCAGTAACGTATAAAGCTACGGTTAATGTTTTCTCGGAAGCCGGGAGGGGAAAGTGTGTGCGCGCGGGGTGGGGCGGGTGGAAGGAGAAGGAATAAAGGAAGCGGGCGCGGGAAGGGGGGGGCGGGGTGGGATATCAGGAATATTCTTTGGTCTGGATAAGTAAGTGCAAGGTCTTCCCCAATTTATTTCCCCCATCGGCAGCAAAGATATTCAAAGTGCAGAGAGGTTTGGACCCCCCACCCCCCCACCCACCCCGCCCCGATATAGGTCAAGGTCTGTGGGTCTCGTAGGACGAGAGCAAGGCAGCGTCCACTGGCTCCATGCAGGACGGGCAAGTGAAGGACCTCATCAGCCACTCGTCTATACACTCCACGTGGTAGATGTGAAGACATGGTAGGAATCGGATGGGGTCCCCGTAGGCGAAGTCCATCATGCATATCACACACCTGCAAGAGAAATGGCTCCTCGTAATGACTGTCGTGTGGACCACAACACTTGCAATCGATGATATATACACGTGTGTAGGTAGGAAAAAAAACTGGTCACTCAATAAGCCGCCGGGCGCAATCGTCTGCCGCGTTTCGCCCGCAAAATATGCAGTCGGTGTCACTTTACAGCGTACTCTGTGAAGCGCCTGGAGACGTCCAGACGAAGCGAAAAGCGCTGTGTCAAATGCAAGGATTATTTGTTGAGACAAACACGGACGGATCGCATTCCTTCGACGCCTTTCACCTCCGGAGGACGTCTCGAAAGCGATTCACAGATTATAGTCTATAAATATATGATGTAGAGGAGAGCAGCCATGATCTATACTACTGCTACTACTACTCATAATAATCCTTGTATTTGATACAGCACCTTGTCACGTCGTTGAAGTGGAGTGACTGGGCTTTTGTGGCCGAAAGGTGTCAACAGTCAGACAATTGCACTCGGCTGCGTCCCCACAAACGGTCGTGGATTGAGTGAACAAATTATTATTTTTTTTAATTAGATTATTGCCCAACGTTTCGTTACGTCTGGGAATTAAACCCGGGTCCTCTCGCTTGCGAGGCGGGTGCTCTAACCAATACCCTACAGGACTCCACAATAATCATAACAATAATAATAATATGAATAATAATATTATTAATAATCCTTGTATTTGATATAGCGCCTTGTAATGTCGTTGAGACGCCTCAAAGCGCTCCACAGAATATATTCTATAAATATATATTATGAGTGTAGTCGTGATCCAATAATAACTCGGTCACTCATTCCACAACTGTTTGTGGGACACTGCCGTGTACAATTGGCTGCCCGCAAAATATACAAGTCACTCCACCGTACAGAGTGTCTTGTAATTCTGGAACCGGCTCGAAGGGCTGAATGGCCTCCTCCTGTTCCTACATAAATATGTAATGGTTAAATATTAAGAGTGACATACATTCTGTGAATAGAGAATATAAACACTTATGCAATGTGCAGTCCTGTGGCTCGGTGGTTAGATTTCCGGGCGGGTCGGGGTGAAACATTGGGCAAGTTTCCTTTCTCTCCACACGCACCTCTGTTTACCAGTAGTAAGTAGGAACCCGGTTGTTAACACAACAACTTGTGCCCTTCACGTGGGGTTGTGCCCTTCACGTGGGGTAGTGTCCCAGAGTATTCGACAGTGGCAGAATCTGATCCCGAGCCAGGGGGGGGAGAGAGGGGGAGAGGCGGGGGAGGTGACCGTAAGCACGAACAAAAAAGGAAGGTCTCTAAGCGGGATTTGAAGGTGGGGAGGGAGGGGTGGAGGGTGGGGGGGCGGAGGCGGAAGGATTGAGGGAGAAAGTTCCAGAGTTTTAGGGGTCTAGTGGTTGGAACGGAGGGACGAATAGGAGGCCAAAGCCAGCCGAACGGAGGCAGTAGTGGGTAGTGGAGTTGGAGGGGGAGGGTGAAGGGGTAAGTATAGGGGTAATAAGGAGTGGAGTTCAAACAAGAGGATTGACGTGTACTCACTCATTGCCTGTCTTGTCCTGCGGGTCTTTGGTTGAGGTGAAGGTGCCTTTGGGGAGATGGTGGATCAGGCCAAGCCTCTGGGCAATCCTTATCTGCTCATCTTCTGTTAGCTGCGTGGCGAGGCAGGTCTGGCTGGGGGTCGGGTGATAAACTGGGACTTGCACTTGCTCCTGGTAAGAGACAGTTGTCCCAATTAACTCTCAACATCATCATCATCATCATCACAATAATCTTTGCATTTGACACAGCGCCTTATCACGTCTTTAGAGACATCTCAAAGCGCTTCGCAGGGCACTCTTGTGAAGTGGAGTGACTGTATATTTTGTGGGCAGCCACTCGCGCGCAGCAGGGTCCCACAGTTGTGGATTGAGTGACCGAATCACTATTTTTATTTGTGCTTAAAAGGGATTATCAAGCGACGAACAACCGGCTTCCTACTGACTGCTGGGCAAACAGGCGTGCACTTGTGTGCATGTGGGTGTGTGTGTGTGTGCGTGTGTGTGGGGGGGGAGTAAGGAAAGTTGTCTAAGGTTTCGCCCTGACCTGGCCCGCCCGGGAATCGAACCCGGGTCCTCTCGCTTGCCAGGCCAGTGCTCTAACCGCTACGCTACGTGACTCCACGCTCCCTCACTTACTGCAGCCTGTTCCCTGTGTAATCTCTTCACTTTCTGCTCCTCTCGAGCACGAACTCTCTCTCTCTTGCTCTCAGCCATGCCAGCTGTTACCCTTCCTCCCCAGCCTAAAATCTTCCACTTTCTGATGTCGGACACTTTCAACTTCCTCTCTCTCTCTCTCTCTCTCTTTCGCTCTCTCTCTCTCTCTCTCTCCGCTCGGCTTTCTCGCTTTCCCTCTCAAGTCTTTTTTTTTTCCAAAGGAATAAAAGTCTCTTGTGATTTCCGTTTTATGACCTGTGTATCAGTCCTTTCTGTAAAAGAAAAGGCCAACACACACACACACACACGCACACACACACCAGAGTTAGGGATTCCTGTACAATAAGCCTTGCATTTCATATAGCGCCTTATCATATCGCCGCGACGTCTCAAAGCGCTTTGCGGGATGATACTGTAAAGTGCAGTGACTGTATATTTTGTGGGAGAAATGGGGCAGCCAATATGCACACAGACAGCCAAGAAGTGAACCACCCATTTTATCTGGAGTCGATTGTCAACCAGTACACCGGGAGGGAGAGAGAGAGAGACAGAGAGAAACTCCTTTCTCTTCTCCAACAGCGCTGTGGGAGATCTTTAACGTCCGCCTGAACGGGGCGCAGACGGGGGGAGAGAGAGAGAGAGGTTTAACGTCTCATCCGAAGGACGGCGTCTCCGACAACACAACCCCCCCCCCACTCCCCCCCACCCTCAGCGCTGCACTGGAGTCTCAGCTTAGGCTGTGTGATTCCAAGTCCTGACGTGGGGGTTCGAACCCACAACCTTCTGACTCAGAGGCGAGAGAGAGAGAGAGAGAGGGAGTGACTGAGCCAGGCTGACACATACACATATACACAGCGACTGAGCCTGGCTGACACACATTAATACGCTGACACTTATTAACGCACTCACTCCAGTTATAAATAGAAATCCGAAATATCATCCTCTCGCGGCTAAAGGAAATAAAATTACATTTTAACCTGATACTCTGTTCGAGTATTGGGCCCTCTGTCAGCTTCGCAAACCAAAGCCCTAACTTGTGACTCTATAATAGCTCTCTGTGTAGTGCCACCAAACAGAAGGGAGTTTTTCTCTCTCCCTCTGCAAACACATGTACAGACATGTACACACAGACAGACACACACACATACATATACACACACACACATAGACACATACACACAGTCAGAGAAGGCAGACAGACAACACATACACAGACACGCAGACAGACAAGACACAGACAGATAAGACAGACGATAGACACACACACACACAGAAGGCAACAGACAGACACCAACACACCCACACAGACAGAGAAGGCAGACACACACACACACACTCATACAGACAGACAGACACACAGACACACAGATAGACAAGATGCACACAGACAGAGAAGAAAGACAGACAGACAGACAACAGACAGACAGGACAGACAAACCTGGTAAATGGGAGGATAATGTCCAGTCTCTGGAGAACCTCCTGCGCTTATTTCCCCATTAAAACTCCCCGAATCATTCAGCAACGACAGATCATCGATGGACTGGGATTTAAAACAATTTCCCATGTTGTTGTTGTTGTTGTTGTTGCTGTTTTTTTTTGATGTGTGTGTCAGGAAGGACAGAGGGGGCAGAGAAAAAGAGAGAGAGGGGGGGAGGGGGAGGAAGAGAGAGAGAAAGAGAGAGAGAGAAATTGCAAGGCCCCAGAAAAAAAAAAGGTGGGGTTTGTTTTATATAAAAAAATCAATTTTTTTTAGGGGGAAAAAAAAAGAGTTAAAGACAGACTGTGGGAGAGCTGTGCACCTCAGGCAAAGACTTGCAATTAAAGGACAGAATGGATTTAAAGTGCAGCAAATCCATTTCCCTCTTCACCCCCCAACCCCCTGAACCCCCCAAAAACCACAGACACCCCCCAAAAAAAAATAAACAGAAGACAGAGTCTCACACACACAACACAACACAACACCTCTGCACAGTGGTGACCTCTCGGACTAGCTTTGCTTTGACCGACAGCCGCACTCACCAATCACGCGCGTCCCTGCGCCGAGGGGGTCGAAGCGACGGGCCAATAGGGTGGGGCTGGGGGGGCGGGACTTGTCCTGGCCGGGTGCAACCTAACTTGCGGAAAGTGCCTTCAGCAAAGTTGTCCGGCGGGTGGGCGGGGCCAGGGCGCACGTGACGTAGGATTGACAGGTGAATGGGCCATTCACAGCGCGCCCGCCCCCCCCTGGTGGATTTGACCAATCAACGCCCGGCAATTGGCGGGGAGGGGGGAGGGCGGTCCCTGACGCGGGATTGATAGGTGAATGGGCCATTCACAGCGCCCGGCACAGGGCCAAGGCCGAAGGTGGCCAATCAGCGCCCGGAAAAGGGCTGGGGGGGGCGGGCACTAGGTGTGTGTGTGTGTGGGGGGGGGCAGATGGGAGACCCGCCCACTTGGGGGGAGGGGCCAGGAGGAGAGAGAGAGAGAGAGAGAGAGAGAGAGAGAAATTGGCCAATTGGGTCTTAGTAGACAACAACAACGACGACGACGACGACAACAACAACAACAACAACAACGACGACAACAACAACGACGACACCAACGACGACAACGACGACAAAATAACAAAACAATATAATAATAAATAATGATAAGTAATGATAATAACCGTCGCGTCTGCCCCAACCCCTCGTCGCCCCCTCGAGACGTCTCAAAGCCCTGCGCGGGATACACACCGCACAGGTGCAGTGACTGTGCATTGCGGGGGCGAAACGCGGCAGCCAATTGCGCGTTCCCCGCCCACAAACAGCCGCCGATTGAAGCGACCCAATTATTATTATTATTATTATTAATTTTTTTTAAAGGGATTATTAACCCCGGAAAAGCGATCCGCCGATCGACTAACAACCGGGGTTCCTACTGACTGCCGCGGGGGGGGGGGGGGAGCGGGGGGACAGAGGCGCGCGCATGTGTGCGCGCGTGTGCGTGTGTATGCGCGTGGGTCTGCGTGTCTGCGTGTGTGTGTGTTTGGAGTAAGGAAACTTGCCCGACGTCTCGGCCCGTCCTGCCCCGGGAATCTGGCTCGCGAGCCGAGCGCTCTAACCACTGAGCCACAGGACTCCAGTCACTATGCACAATATACAGTCACTACACTTTACAGTACATTCCGCGAAGGGCTTTTGAGTCGTCTCAACGACCGAACGACGATGATAACAATTACCAACCACTACAATAATAATCCTTGCATTCGATACAGGGCCTTATCACGCCATCCAGACGTCCCCGAGCCGGACGTACCTCGCCTTTGGCTGAAAAGAGACACATCCAGTCACTACGTTTTCCCGCAGCTCCCGTGAAGCGCTCCGAGACGTCTCGACGACAGGATAACAATCCTCGCGTTTGATGCGGCGCCTTATCGCGTTTTCCAGAGCTCACAGAAACGCACTGTGAAGTGCAGCGCATCGCGAAGACGGGGTAAGGCGCTGTATAAAACGCAGGGACTGGTACGGTCTGGAATCCGTACCCTCCGGTTACCGACGGACGCACCGCCAGAGGTCTCCCGATCCACTCTCTCTCTGCCTCGTAATTTTGAACGCCTCCGACAACTGTATTGCATTGATTTTCCCGTAACTCACCCCAGACCGTACTGCTCCGTAGTCTCTCTCTCTCTCTCTCTCTTTAGCTGACTCGGCGACAGCTCAGCGTTCGGACCTTTAACCCTTCCCGCCCGCCGGCGTCTACGCCCTCAAGCCACTTGGGGGAGTCGTGGGGGTACGCAGTCGTGAGCGGTTGGAGCCCTCGCCTCGCCTCGCGAGCGATAGAGGACCCGGGTTCGATTCCCGGGCGGGTCAGGGTCAGGGTGAAACCTTGGGACAAGTTTCCTTATTGCACACGCATACACACACGCACGCGCGCGCACACGCCTGTTTACCTAGCAGTAAGCCGGAACCTGGTTGTTAGTCACTTGGTGGATGGCTTTTCCGGGGATAATAATCCTTCTGCCCACCCCCCCGGCCCCACCCACCCCCAACATTTTGGATCACTCAATCCACGGCTGTTTGTTGGGGACGTCGCTGTGCGCAATTGGCCTTTCGCCCGCAGTATACACAGTTACTACGCGTCTTAGGATCAAAGTGCGTGTGTGCTTCTCGTCTCTCTGTTATCCTATCTACCCTCACTCTCTCTCTCTCTCTCTCTCCCTCCCTCCCTCTCTCTCCCTTTTTTTAATGATGTGTTGGTAATCACATCCATTATCTATCCATTTGCTTGGCTCTGTTGGCTGGAGCCACGGTGTCAATGGTCGGCCATAAAGCCGCGCAATATATTTCCTCCCTGCAATCAGGGTGCCATAAAAGGTAATTACAATGGCGCCGGGGGTGGGGGTGGGGGTGGGGGGGTGTGTGTGTGTGATGTGTGCGTACGTGTGTGTGTGTGTGGGGGGCAAAAATCACAAAGGAATCTCCCAAGGGCGTTGCCGGCAGCGACTTTTGACTTCGAACGGCAGAGAAGGAAGCCGTTCAGCCGGTCGGTCACCATCCTAAGAGCAATCCTTGCGACGTCTCAAAAGCGCTTCGCAGGAGACGCACTGCGAAGTGGAGTGACTGCGGATTTGGTGGTGGGCGACAGCTCGCGCAGCGGTGTCCCTGCAAACAGTCGCGGATCGAGGCAGCGAATTATTATTTTTGAATTATTATTATTATTATTTTTATTATTATTATTTATCAACCTCAGCAATAAATCGACTAACAAACGGGTCCCTACACACCGGGAGGTACATTGCGAGCGTGTAGCAGGAAGCTGACAAGTTAAATTTGACAGCCCCCTGTTCTTATCTGGATCAAAGGTCGAAATCGCTGGCAAAGAGGCTTTTTTTTTTTTGCAAGTTACCGCTCCGCTGGGGTACAGACTGTGCATAATGCTTCCGCTTTATTAAAGAGAACTTGCACGAATTTACACCCGTAAACTTACAATGTAAATGTACCAATGCAAGATGCAAACAAGATATAAATGCAAGTTGCTGTTGTTCACGAGAACCAGAACAATCCTCGCGCTTACCAGAGCGCTTTTCACGTCTTCCGCGACGTCTCAAAGCGCTTCAAGTGAATCGACTGCATATTTGTGGGCGAATCTGGGGGGGGGGGGTTATCTGGAGCGTTGTCAGCCGGGACACTGGGGGCAGAGGGAGGGAGAGGGAGAGAGAGAGAGAGAGAGAGAGAAAGTTCCTGCTCTTTTAGAATAGAGCCGCGAGAGATCTTTAGTGTCTAAACAGGGAATGAGGTTTAATGTCTCGTCTGAACGTTGGCTCCGGTGAGTCAACACTCTCTCTCCCCCCCTCCACCCCCCACCCCACTCCCTCCCCAGCAGTGAACTGGAGAGTTAACCTCGACTGAGCTCAAAGTCATTGCGTTGGGTGGGGCTTGAACCACAACTTTGTGACTCAGAGGCGAGAGTGAGAGCGAGAGAGAGAGAGAGAGAGGGAGAGAGAGAGAGAGAGAGCGCTCGGACTGAAACAGCGCTGACACCTGAAATGATGTGCCCGTAAAAATCACAAGTGGTCGCAGCAAAACTGCGTTGGAAACTGGTATTTAATGCGGAAATCTGTGGCACAAGACACGAGGTGAATCTGGTTACCGGACGGGCCCCCAAAAAAAAAAACAGTTCGTAAATCATTTCCCCCCACTTTGAAGCACAATCCGCGTGACAAAACTATCACAAACACACGCGCGCGTGCGCGCACTCGCATACAGACACACGCACGTCACACAGACACAGGCACACACACATACAGACACACGCGCACGCTCGCATACAGACACCCGACACACACTCGCATACAGACACACGCACTCGCTCACTCACACAGACACACGCGCACACAGGCTCAGACAGACAGACATACGCACACTCAAATACAGACGCACGACACACACACTCACATAGACACCCCCACCCTGCCCCCCCCCCAAAAACCGTCACGCTCGCTCCGCCCGGTGGAAAAAAAA